TTTCTTATTTTCTATACTTTTTGACAATATTAAACTGACAATCATTGGTTGTGAACGCCATAGTCACCACCTTAAAAAATTTTTTATTATTTAAGATTACTCACACTACCACCACAAACACTGCATTAGACTTTGGTAGACTTTGGTACTTTTTCGCATTTATAATTATTTTGTGTTTATCCTGTTTTTTTGCTGTTGGTGTCTTCAGATTTATTTATTTTTTTTGTTTGTTTAATACTTATTTTAAATGTCGGTAAAATTAGATGCAAATATTGTAGATATGTGCTGAAAATTCCACACTGTACCACTAGTACTGTTTCTGGAATAAAGCAAATTATTATTATTATTAAAAAATAATTTCAATTCGTGCTTCGAACATTTTTGACTTCATATCGTAAATGTGGACAAATTCCTCTGGTTAATTATGTTTTAATTTTCTTTATATTTTGAGTAAATCAGATGCAAGGTGTTGTGAGAAATGCTGAGAATTCCATTCTGTATTATAAGTAGTACTGTTTTTGGAATAAAGTAGATTATTATTAGTGTTGCGTGTAATACTGATAAGATTTATCAGTAGTATAATTATGTATAAAGAGATTTTCATCGGCAGAAAAACATCAAGTAGCACGGAGACAGATTTCATGTCAGAGAAAGCAAATGATCTGGCGTTGTGAAGAATCATGGGAGACACATCATATTAAAGGCAAGCAGTAGCAGAACACGGGAGATTTGTGCAAATGATGCGTCGAAGATAAAGTGCACATAATTTCGCTACATGCCGATACCAAATAAACATTGCTAACCAGGTCTTTTGTCTCCTGCCGTTACAATAGGAGTTGACAGCAACACGGTCTTATTTCACTCATTTTCCTGTCAATGCTTTTCAGCTAGCTCCGCATTTGCCTACACGCTTTCATTTTCACTTCACGCAATCTTCTCAATGACACATTCGAACGCTTAATTTGTCGTTTCCTACTCGAGAGACTGACACATGGTGCCTGATTTCAACATAGAACTTTGCACCGATGTACAGCAGTTCGAGTCGCCACACTCCCTCCTTGTAGCACACAAAGCAAGTGAAGAAAGTGAAAAGAAATGCAAAATAGTGACAGCAGATAGAGATATGAGGCAAAAAAGAATAGTAATATGGAAAGACAATATAGTTTCGTTGGGTATTATAAGTCACAGGGAGTGGATGCATCCGCGCCTGCCATTGAGAACGAACACTTTGAGCCATATCACAAATTGTCTCTAGGCATTGGTGTTTACCGTCCCGAGGACCTCAACCAGCAATGAAGTCTACAGCTTCCTACGTGGCCAGCTAAAACTAACTGTTGTGGATTTCATTGACTGGTGAAGCCATGTTTACGTTTGACCGCCACTGGCTCTTTTGCAACCTGATCCAATGTCAGCTAATATTGTCCGTCGAGGAAGGCGATGACTAGGCATGCACAACACAAGTCCTAAACATCTCAATCGGTGTAATTTCACAACCTCATCTGTTGATTTCCCCTCTTTACCTAGCACTCGACCAACACCTAACCTCAATGTTGCTCACCTTATTATACCATCACGTAACATGGGAGATAGAACGCAGACACCTATGATCAAAAACAGCTAGCCAAGATTTTCATGTCTTCCACTCTCAATGGCCAGGTCTCACTCTCAGTCATAAAGGACGGAGCGGACTGCTGAGCAGTACACACAGCCTTTGGTCGCCAGTCAGCCGGATATCACGTCTACTCCAGAGACGACGTAAACTAGCATATGCGAAACGAGCCTTCTGTTTCCCTGCCGAGATTTCGTCAGCGATCAACCTGTTGGTGTTGGCTGATGCAACTTCCCAAATAAGTGAAATGGTCAACACGCTCCAGCAACCACTTAACTCCCTACTTCTAAGCCAGGAGTCAATGCAGTCCAGTCCTGTAGCATAATATCACTTGAAGATCTCCTCAGTGTATCTTCATTCCCTTCTGAATATTTATTGGGCAATCGACTATTGGCTAGTTCTCTGCTAAAGTTTTTGATTAGTTATTCTTTCTTGTCAGTCATCTGCTCTCTCTCCAATAGGGAGAGCTTACGAAGACAGATGTGCAAAAAAGGTTGCAACAGCCTATTGGGAAATGCTTATTGGTGATGTGCACACCACTGAACCATCATAGAAGCACTAACTGGCTATTAGTGTTGAAAATGCGAATCTTACCTTCTTATGTTGATTACGACAGATTTCAGAGAGTAATAAAGGTCTCTCTTGCTTTTCCACACAATACCAAATACCTACATCAGATTCTTCGAGCAACTACCAAGGAGCTTCCACTTAAACACCTGATAGGCACAGGACATCGAGTAGACCTTCTGGGATCATTCAAAATAATTAACAGATATAATAGGTCAAGTCATCTTCTCTTTACTGAAGTTATCGTAATAAAACAACTGAAACGTGACCTACGTAACTTTAATTACCCTGATGACTCTTCCCTTAGTAACTCTCTGTCTTGATAACGTCGTTAACTTATCTTTTCACCCTTGCTCGTCGGTCTGAGTTCTACTCCCTGTATTAAATAACCACCATCATCCTTCTATTTGACCTTTTGCACACCAAATTCTTATCTTCTCTTATCTGACGACGTAATTGTTACTAACCTTTGTTGCAGCCCTAACAATATTCCTGTAACCAATCAATCAAATCCCTACAAACCAATACTTGAATATCAATGAGATGCCCACTACTGACTAGACCTATTCAGTTGGGTAGTTACCTGGGATTCTAAGGGGAAGTCGTGACCAGTAGGGCACCGCAGGTCGGGTGTGAGGACAAATACTCACCATAGATGACATTGGCTAGTGGTCGCGCTACGTCGTGAATCGGAAAAAGTTAGAATTCATGGGTTGACCATTGGATCGGCTCGCAGTAGCTTAGTGGTCTGCAAGATAGCTAGCCTTGTAACCAGAAGGTCCTGGGTTCGAACCCCGGGTGCGTACTGATGAAGTCTCAAAACTAGGGCGAAACAGCGGTCCCAGTACTCCCAGGTTTTCCAATGGTTCTCTAACCGATGTCAGCCCATGATGAGATCCTGTAACCAAACCAACTTATCAGTTAATTTTTCGAGAAACTTCTCTCTAGCATGATATATTTACATTTATATGCACTGTAATACCTCAGTTACCTTATAATCTTACTGTTTTATTTAACTACGACGTTCATATAATATGCCTATTAACAGACACAAATTATGCGTCGTAGACAGCTGATGCGATGAACCGACAAAAAATAGGTATGCAAAACTTGAGCACTGTGGTAATAAGTAATTCCATATTAGTTTGTTTTTTAGATCTATCACACAGTGAAACAGCATTGTTTACTGGATGATGTTTCGAACAAAATTTATTACTGTTCATAATCATATCAATTATAACCACAACTTCGAAACTTGAGTTTAATAGTTTTCTCTGCTCTCTACTATTTGTCGTCGTAGGGATAGTAGAATTTTCCAGATGTCGTGGTAGACAGGTGTTGAATCATTCCTATTACACATATTCTCTCTCACTTGATTCGATAAATAAAGCTTCTGTTATCAATCTCTCCGTCACCACCCTGCCGTTACATTAGATTTTAAAACTGTCATCCTATCCCATCCATCCTATTGTATGGTTGTGTTGTATGCAATTGCATGTAATGCTTGCGATAGCTAGACTATTCTCTAGATTTCTTATATTATTAGGGTCAAATAATCTAGATTTCACTGCTAGGTTTCTATGCTCGGCTAGTCTGACTCACTCACCCTGTTCTACTACATTGACCTATGTATTTGACCTGACAATCATTCCAGCAGGGTATTAGATAGACTAAATTGTTTTGTTTTAAAGGCTCCACAGGATTGATCCTGCGACCGACAAAGCTTGTTTCTAATTGAGTTTGTGGGTGGTTTGAATGCCAGCCACTTTTATTCCTGCTTGGCTTGTTAAGAATTCTGCGTAAGGTGGTTTCCGTGGTTCCTTCTTTGTATGGAATTATTACTGATGATTTAGATTCCTTATTGTTGGTGTTGTCATTAACCTGTGCATGTTTGACATGTATGTCGTCATTAATATTACTATTGTCATTAATATCACTACTATCATTATTTATTTTATTTTTACATTCCCCTTCATACTTTCTGGCTAATTTATCAGGGTAATTATTAAGTTTCAAGGCTTCTCTTCTATGTATCACTTCCTGTCTTAGATTTTTCTTGGTACTACTTAGTTTCTGTGCTCTATTACTTAAACACTTCACCAACCCTATTTTCACCGACATACGATGGGATGATCAGAAGTCCAAATATCTGTTTGAATGTATCAGTTTCCTGTAAACACACACTAGTGTTTAACTTTCCATCTTCTTTCCTTTTTCCTCTACAATCCAACATTGGAAGCTTCCTCCACCTTTGAGTTAATGTGTTCGAAAAATCTATTTATTATGTCCTGTGTTCTAATTACAGTGAATGTGTCATCTAAATACCTCCACAATACTTTTGAAGTGGGGCTGAACGTTACAATCGCTATGTTTTCCCACCTATCCATAAATATATCTACCACAACAGGGGATAAGAATGATTCAACACCTGTCTACCACGACATCTGGAAAATTCTACTACCCCAACGACGACAAACAGGAGAGAACAAAGAAAACTATGAAACTCAAGTTTTGAAGTCGTGTGATTATAATTGATATGATTATGAACAATAAATTGTGTTCGAAGCTTCGACATGCAGTAAATAATTCTGTTTCACTGTGTGATACATCTAATAAACAAACTAATATGGAAAAATAAAGTGTATCTGTGTTATTCTACACCAATGTTTGTTACACTTTCTCTGCTCAAATTTGTATTATATATTCATCTATGCACCCGCAGATGTTCTTGTCAATAACCACATCTATCCATCCATCAGACATAGAATAACATCTTCATTGGATGAAAATGAAATTTATGACATGCCTACTTAAATTCACCTATTCAGTAGTTAGACGTTTATCGGGAAAAAAACCGCGACGAGTACCGTAAAGTTCAACAACACCCCTTAAACTTGGAGACAAAATACACAAAAAAAAGAAATGTTTGCAAGAGAAAACTGAAAAATATTATTTTTCAATAAATATATAAATAAATAAATCAATAAATGTGAATGAGTATATCTGTGAACAAGTTGATAATAAATAATTATATGCATATATATACGTAAGTAATAATAAGTATAAAGATGGTTCAGTTCAGTGCAGTTCAGTTCAGTACTTCCATATTATATTCTACTAATACTAACGATGAATAATGTTCAGAAAAGACATGAGTGGTACTACTCAAATAAGTAAAAACACAGTACGGAAGATACTCTGACGAGTCGAACTCAAAGTTAACAAGATTCGTATTACACACTAGTAATAAGTGTAATAATAACATAGCTGCTTTTATTGTGACGTCATCCAAAAAAGAAACGCACAAACATTAAAAAAAAACGAACAAAGAATTTCTCTATTGCAAAACTAATTACTAAAAACAAAAGCAGGAATATGAAGAACTCAAAGAGCGACAACAACAACAACAAGAGCAACAAATGGGGGATCCTTACCCTCTTACATCACCGCCTTTTTTCACACCTCTGCATTCATTAATTCATTCATATTCTGATATTTTCGAGATGCTTCAATCCGTCTACAATACATACACCATACTCATCTTTAATTATTATTATTATTCCACAATTATTTCTTCAATGAACTATATTATAATAAAATTATCATAATAAAATGAGTAACTTCCATTATTCCCTGTTGTACGGACGATGTATCACTGCTATTATTGCCTGTTATTCAAATTTCAATATTATCTAATTGAATTGATTTAAACAAAGGATATATATATGTATGTTCAATGTACAATTGAAACAATGTGACGCACACACACGCACATGCGTGGGCGGATGGACAGAGGCGCGCGCGAAATAGAAAGTTAGAATCATTAAATACTGCATAATAAATATACGCTCAAAAAATACTAAATAAACTACTTATAATTCGATAAATTAGAAGGAAAAATAAATAAATAAACACACACACAAGCACGCACACAAACAAACAAGCATGGATACACGCACAAACGCATAAATAAGTGTGTGTGTGCGTTTTTATCGTTATATATACACCGCACAAAAGGAAACTGTAAGAGGGAACATTTCAGAAATGAAGAGAGAGTATCAGCACATGCTCAATACTTTCAATAGACAAAAGAATCCAATGAAGAAGTTTATTGCAGTATAACTGAATATTTAGACAACAGAATCACACACACACAACGAAGGAGTAAATAAACCACAGAGGTTGTTGATAACAGTAATAACAATAACAATAAGCGGTTAAGACTTTTGTTTCCGTCGATGACGGCGTTTATTCGACCTTGAAGAAGAAGAAGATGACGTCTTATTATTAATATTATTATTATAAGGATAATTCGTAGACTGTGAAGACTTTACACCAATATCAGATGACTGTTGTTCATTTCGTTGTTGTTGTTGTTGTTCTTGTCCAGGAGGAATTACATCACCACCAACACCACCACTGGACAGATCTGTACACTTCTTCTGATTCTCTTGATTTTCTATCTCTGTTTCTAATAAACTACTTAAATGAATTGAAGTAGTATAATGCAGTGAATCGAATTTTTCATTCGTTGATGTATAATTGCTGTTGGTGTTGTTGTCAAATTCCTCCATTGATAAAGACAATGATTTTGACTTATGATAAAAGTATTGCAAATTATTGTTACCGTTTTCATTGTTATGAGTTGTATTCATTATACGATCGATAAAATTCATTCGTAGACTTGACCAACTACTGTCATAATCATCCTTTTCATGAAATGACAGAGTATTTTGTCTTCTCCATATGAAATCATTACCACTGTCATTTATTAACTGGCTGGCATCATCTTTGTTATTACTATTACTACTGGTCTCATTGTTCAGCAAAGGAGAAATCGATGAGTTACACTTCAATGGATCGATTAGATCAATAACATAACCAACTGTTTTCAGATTACCATTCCAGGTGAGTATAAATTGACGGCCGATTTCAACGCATTCAGGTTGCCGTGTAAAGCGTACATAAAGATGACTTGTATCCTCCAAGTGATTCTATAAAAAATAGTCGAAAGAAAGGAAATACAGGGAAGAGAATAAAATAAATAAAAATAATCACTATAATAAAGGTTTTTGTATTTCCCAATGCATGAAAAATAATGAACGATATTGTTTTTACTGACATTTCGCTATTTAATGCTAATAGCTTTATGAAAGTATTATTAAACCAGAATTTATAAAATCTCAGCATTTATATAACAAAGAGGTAAGGGGTGAGAAAATAGACGTAGGTCAAGTTAAAAGGACATCTGGAAAGTCAAAATGCCAATGAAGATCACTAAACTAAATAACAAAGCTAATACTACATCTGTTATGGTATCAAAACAAAGTTTACTAACTTGATCATCGCTCGTTAGTCTGGGGTCATTTTTCGTTGTCAAGTTGGTCAACTGGTAAAGATAACAAAATCAAATGTGGATTGTCGGATTTGATCAGTGTGTAAGATTATAAAAGCAGTGTGTGTTTACATAGTGAACTTGCTTATCACATTCGTGTTGATTTTGTCACTTCATGGGGGAGGGAGGTGTTGTAACCAGGTCAGATTCTCTTTTACTCCATCATTCCTATTCAGGCAATTTGGATTCCACTTGATATGACGTGCTTCTGATATTAGACGTCCTGGATTATATCAATATTGTCAAAATCAATTTTGTGACCTGATTCTATAGCATGCAGACCTATGGCTGATGATTTTTCAAGTTTTTATAGTTCACTGACTGGATTTCTCGGTGGTCGAACAGATGCTCTACGGTGTTCATTTCTTCTGATTTTGATTTCTCGAGATGTTTGTCCGATGTATATCGCATCACATCCCAAGCAAGCATTTTATTTTATAGACACAATTAGATAGAGAATCTTTAGGGATCTGGTCTTTTATATGGACAAGCTTGTTTCGTAGTGTGTCTGATGTTTTGCAGAAAACTCTAATGTCGAGCTGATTGAGTACTCTTCTGATATCATCTGACGTCTCTGCTCTATATGGAGTGACGACTGTCGAGGTCCATGTTTTTGGAATGCGTTTTCGGCCATACTTAATGTCTGTGTTGATTTTGTGGAAACGTCAGTAAAAACAATATCGTTCATTGTTTTTCATTCATTGGGAAATACAAAAACCTTTATTATAATGAATATCATATACCCAATGCCCAAATTTTTTCAAACTGTTAAAAGCGAACTTGGTTTGGACATATATAAATAAAAATAAATAAATAAATAAGGGAATTTGAGAGAAATGCGGTCAAGAGCTGACCCACCCCACCCCCACCCCCGATGGGATCATAGTGTGTAAGAGATAATAATTATTATTGACCATCTGAGTTCTACTCACCGTATTACATCACCAGCATCGTGATCACCCTTTTTATTTCACCTCTTGTACACTAAATTTTGGTCTTCTCTTATCTGTAACTAAGTAATTGTTACTAATTTTTTCTTACCACCCCTCAAACGAGAAATTTGTCAATAAATCGTCTAAAAAATCTCTTTTGTTTTTTATTCCTTCACGTTCCAGCCAGTGGAACATAGGGCTTCAATCTAGAGTCTTGAAGTTCCTGTAGCAATGTTTATTTTTTCCAGGCTGGGGTTGCTAGCCTCATGCCCAACCTTTCCTATTCACCAACTTTAGTTCTGGCTTAGCGAGGTAAAGGAGTGCGTCTGTGGCCAGGGGTCGAACCCCGGACTATGTGCATAGTCGGCGAGAGTCCTAACCACTGTACCACCGACGCACCTTTGCTCTAACGCACTATTTGCACAGATCATCTTCCGAGTTGTGTCTGGCCTTCTTTCATATTGTGTGTGTTTCTTTGTGTTCCTTCCACGCCTCCTATGTGTCGCTACAAAGTTGTATCGTCATTTTCTTTCTCTGACAGTAAATCTATCTTCCTGTTATTTGATGTTTGTGTGCCGATGAATGTCTCTTTTTATATACACTACTGATAAATCTTATCAGTAGCACTCGCCACACTATGACACTTTTACAGTATGCTTGTTGATAGACAAAAGTATGTTAAGAATTTTACACAGACTTATTTTATTAAAGATTATAGATGGTATACAGCTGACGAGGTGAACCAACGCCAATGTTTATTCGTTCTCTGAACAAATTTATCAAAAATGAATTCTTGTATAATACGCAGACCACTTTTGAGGGAGGGGGTGAGTGATCAAATTATTGAATAGGTATCAATCTACTGCCCCTCGCCTTAATAAACCACAGGCACCTTTGTATATTTACAGATCTATTCACCTACGTTCTGCACCAACACATAGACACACATACACAGATGAGGTTGAGAAGCCACATACCCTGCCTGCAATGATTGTCAGGTTAAATACACAAGTCGAAGTAGTAGAACAGGGTCAGTCAGTGAGACTAGTGGAGTGCAAAATCCTAGCAAAATCTAGATCAGTTGACTCGACAGCTAGATAAGAAATCTGGAGAACAGTTCAGCTATCGCAAGCACTACATGCAATTACACACAGTCATACAATAGGATGGATGGGATAAGATGACAGCTTTAAACTCTAATGTAACAGGGTGAATGGAAGGAGAGATTGATACCAGAAGCAGACAAGTGTGATACGAATGATTCAACACCTGTCCAGTCGGACATCTGGAAAATCCTACTACCTCTACGACAAATGGGAGAGGGCAAAGAAAACGGAAGTTTCGAAATCGTGTGATTATAATTGGCGATATGATTATGAACAATAAATTATGTTCGAAACGTTATCCAGTAAATAATAATGTTTCACTGCGCTATATATCTAATTAACATAATTAACACAGTGCCCGAGTTTTACACATTTATTAATGTGAAGTTACATGGATTGATACAGTTAGGAAATGCATCACACATTTCTAGCCATCTATCGATTTCCTACACGCAGGCAATCTTAGCCACTGACGTAGGATCGATCCGGTTGGAAAACAGCTAGCACATGGTGGTCAAATCAAAATATGGCTTCATCAGTCAATCAAATCCATAATAGTTAGTTTAAGCCAGCCACGCAGACTTCCTGCCTACTTGGCTGGGGTTCTCGAGATGGTAAGAACCAATGATGTCTGGAGACATTTGGCGATATGACCCAAAGTTGAGAAGTTGCATCAACCCCAACGGGTTGATCTCTGACGAAATCTCAGCACGGATACAGAGGCCTAATTTCGCATATGCCAGTTTACATCATCTCTGGCTTAGTAGACGTGATATCCCGCTGGCTGTCGACCAAAGGACGTACTGCTCAGAAGTCCGCTCCATCCTCCTTTATGGCTGCGAGACCTGGACATTGAGAGTAGAAGACATGAAAAGCCTGGCTAGCTGTCTTTGATCACAGGTGCCTGCGTTCTATCTCCAGTGTTAGGTGGTCGGTGTAATAGGGTGAGCAATATTGAGGTAACGCATTGGTCGAGTGTTAGGTAAGGAGGGGAAAATCAATAGACGAGGTTGTGAAGTTACACCGATTGAGATGGTTAGGACATGCGTTACACATGACTGCCTAGCCACCACCTTCCTTGAAAAGCAATGCTAGCTGACATAGGATGGGTCAAGTTGGAAAAGAGCCAGTGGTGGTCAAGCCAAAATATGGCTTCACCAGTCAATCAAATCCGCAACAGTTCGTCTAAGCTACGTAGGAATGTGTAGACTTCCAGACTGGTTGGTGTCCTCCGGACGGTAAACACCAATGGCTGGAGACAATTGGTGATATGGATATCAATCGTCGTTCTGGGTGGTGGCTGGCGCAGATACATCCACTCCTTGTGACTTATAATACCCAATGAAACTATATTGTTCTTCGTTATTGCTATTCTTTTTGCTTCATATCTCAATTCACTGTCACTACTTTGCATTTCTTTTCACTTTCTTCCCTTGCTTTGTGTGCTACATGGAGCGTGATGACTTGAATTGATGAACATCGGTGCAAAGTTCTATGTCGAAAACAAACAGATATGACTCAAAATCCTCATACTCGGTAATGGTTGAAGCAGATACATTCAGTCTTTGTATGATTTGTTATATCATCCAATAAAACTCCCCTGTTCTTGGATATGACAGAGAAGATTTGTAGCTCAGGTGGATGGTTTTGATGTGGTTGAGTCACAATACAAGTAACCTAGAAGGTGTGAAAACGCACAAAAACAACCAACCACGTCCAAGGTCGCCAGGGGAGATGATTATTAATTTTTTTTCCTTCACATTCCCCAGTGGAATATAGGGCTTCAAGCTAGTGGCTTGAAGTTTCTATAGCAGTGCTGTTTGTTTTTACAGGATGGGGTTGCTAGCCTCATGCCCAACCTTTCCTCTTCACCAGCATTATTTCTGGCTAAGAGAGGTAAAGGAGTGCGTCTGTGGCCGGGGATCGAACCCCGGACCATATGCATGGTCGGCGAGCGTCCTAACCGCTATGCCACGGACGCACGATGATTAATAAACTCGTGGAGAAATCTAAAAGCTCACTTCAAATTGAAGTATGCGCTGAAGATGTCGCCTAGTAGGGTGATGAAAGCTTCGCAAATTAACTATCCAGCTCAGAGAACACAACCAACCCAAAATCTCCTGTTCTTCCATATTACTGCTATTGTTTTTCCCTTACACTTCCGTTTATTATCTCTCTCTTGATCCTCTTCTGTTGCTTTGCGTGCTACAAGGAGGCAGAGTAGGAACTCGAACTGCTACACTTCTGTACAAAGTAGTTCTGTGTTGAGAGTAGTCCGTCAGTCAGTTACACAAACACACACTCACGCACACACACACACACGCATAAACAGAAATGAAACACGTGTGTTTCTCTATTCTAGGCAAGAACAGATGATTATCATTATTACTAGTGGTGGTAATTGTTGTAGTAGTGCAGCAAGTGGCATTTGTTTATTATTGTTCTGATGGGGAAGGCATGTGTTAAACGCGCGCACACACACACACACACTCACATTGTTTGTGCCACACCACTTAGCAGCACAATAACAATAGTCTCATATGATTTATAGAACACAGGAC